CACACATTTGTCTCTTAGCTCAGGAAGGAAATGATTCCTTAGACACGCGTTTCTTATCAATTGTAACCAGTGTTCCCTCTAAGCTGAGTTAGTGTGAGCTAGCTCACAGTTTCTTAGCCTCCGGCTCACACATTTTTCTCTTGGCTCAGGAAGGAAATGATTCCTTAGACACGCGTTTCTTATCAATTGTAACCAGTGTTCCCTCTAAGCTGAGTTAGTGCGAGCTGGCTCACAGTTCTTTAGCCTCCAGCTCACACATTTTTCTCTTAGCTCAGGAAGGAAATGATTCCTTAGACACGCGTTTCTTATCAATTGTAACCAGTGTTCCCTCTAAGCTGAGTGAGTGTGAGCCGGCTCACAGTTCTTTAGCCTCCAGCTCACACATTTTTCTCTTGGCTCAGGAAGGAAATGATTCCTTAGACACGCGTTTCTTATCAATTGTAACCAGTGTTCCCTCTAAGCTGAGTTAGTGTGAGCCAGCTCACAGTTCCTTAGCCTCCGGCTCACACATTTTTCTCTTAGCTCAGGAAGGACGGCTCCAGAGCAAACTAATTGATGCAGCAGCCAAATCGCTTGCTCACAACTTTAATACCAGTAGCTCACAAAGTAGAATTTTTGCTCACAAGACTCCACAGCTTAGAGGGAGCATTGCTCAGAGGGTGTCTGTCGTGGGGAGGGGAAGGAGTTTGTCAGCCGGTCTGAGACTCCGAGTGGGGGGCGGGATATAAATCCAATCTCTTCTATTCTTCTCCTTCTCCTCCTCTACCCTAAGGAGTCTCAAAGCGGCTTGCAATCCCCTTCCCTTCCTCTCCCCACAAGGGTGAGGTAGGTGGGACTGAGAGAGCTCTGAGAGAACTGGGACTGGCCCAAGGTGAGCAAAAATTCTACTTTGTGAGCTCCTGGCATTAAAGCTGTGAGCAAACGATTTGGCTACTGTATAAATTAGTTTGCCCTGGAGCCCTCCTTCCTGAGCGAAGAGAAAAATGTGTGAGCCGGAGGCTAAGAAACTGTGAGCTGGCTTACACTAACTCAGCTTAGAGGGAACACTGGTTACAATTGATAAGAAATGCGTGTCTAAGGAATCATTTCCATAGCAAACAATTTATAATGCAATAACCGAACAAAGTCTTGAGTCCAGAGGGGCACCTTTGAGACCAACAAGGTTTTATTCTGGGAATACGCTGCTTTCGTGTGCAGGCATGCACATGAAAGCAGCGTGTGAATAAAACCTTGTTGGTCTTTTCTTCTTTTCAGTTTCAAAAAAATTATTTGATAAAAGAAAATCATAACGTTACAAGCAAAGGTCGTAAGAGCTAAAATGTATTAAGATTTCATACAGTTTCAACTCAGTATTAATAAATTGCAGAACACCAGCTTTATACTCAAACTGAATTACTATTTAAAACTAAGACTTGTGTGATAAGAGCTCAGACTAAAGAGGTGTGAGTCAAAGGTGTGCATGCACGGGGAAGATGATACCCAGAATGGAACCTTGGTGGTGGTGGTGGTGGTTCTTCTTCTTCCTCTTCCTCTTCTTCCTCTTCTTCCTCTTCCTCTTCTTCCTCCTCTTCCTCTTCTTCCTCTTCCTCCTCCTCTTCCTCCTCTTCCTCTTCCTCCTCTTCTTCCTCCTCTTCCTCCTCTTCCTCTTCCTCTTCCTCCTCTTCCTCCTCCTCCTCCTCCTCTTCCTCTTCTTCCTCTTCTTCCTCTTCTTCCTCTTCCTCTTCCTTCTCCTCCTCCTTCTCCTCCTCCTCCTCCTCTTCCTTTCTTCCTTTCTTCCTTTCTTCCTCCTCCTTTCTTCCTCCTCCTTTCTTCTCCGTTTCAAAAATTTTATTTAATAAAAGAAAATCATAACATTACAAGCAAACGTCGTAAGAGATAAAATACATTAAGATTTCATACAATTTCAACTCAGTATTAATAAATTGCATAACACCAGCTTTATACTCAAACTGAATTACTGTTTAATACTTAAACTAAGACTTATGTGATAAGACCTCAGACTAAAGAGGTGTGAATCAAAGGTGTGCATGCACAGGGAAGGTTATACCCAGAATGGAACCTTGTTGGTCTTAAAGGTGTGCATGCATGCAAAAGCTGATACCCAGAATGAAACTTTGTTGGTCTTAAAGGTGCCTCACTGGACTCCTGACTTTGCTGTGCCGCTTCAGACCGACAGGGCTGCACACCTGAATCTAGTATAATAACATACGCATATAACACACATCCAATCACATCTTCTCTGCAGCCCGGCATCCGATGCAACCGGGCTGCGGTTCACGGAAATTTCTCCTAGAATAAAAACATTCTTTAATGAGACCGCTGGGCTCCGAGTCCTCCCCCTCCCATGAAGGGATGCAGAGTTTTCAACCCCTCCCACGCCAAAATGTGGTGCTCTTATATTTATTTATGCTGCCTGGTTTAATGCAACTGCCTGGTAGTGGTGGTTTTTTTTAAAAAAAAAAAATCTATGTTAATACTTTGTATTCCTGATCTGAATCTTTTTGGTGGCTCTTGTTTATGTGTGTGTGTGTTTAGATGATACTGTTATATTTCAGGGCTTTTTAAAAACAATGTGGTCATGTGTATTTGTATAGGTTTTAGTGCTTTATCCTGATGCTGTTTTGTTTTTTCACCTAAAGTGAAATTTCCAGGTAGTGCATGACAGAAACACTTAAGGTTAAACAAGAAACCCGGCCAAAGAGCTGAACCAAAGCTGGACCAGTTGCATTTCTGCTTTTCTGTCAAGCAAAGAGCCTTTGTTAAGGCTTGGTGGGGCAGCCCCCAAATTGGCTGCAGCAAGGAACAGAAAAATATGTCCTCAACCATATGGCATGCTGTTTCCCATCCACCACTGCCCTGGAGAGTTCTCCATCCCCCCCCACAATAGGCATCCCCTTGGTGGGGTGATCCTCACAATCTTCCCCTTTCCAAGCCCCACTCATGCTTGGTTTGGTGTAGTGGTTAAGTGTGCGGACTCTAATCTGGGAGAACCGGGTTTGATGCGCCACTCCTCCACGTGCCCCTGGCTGGATGACTTTGGGCAAGCCCTAGTTCTGTCAGAGCTGTTCTTGAAAGAGCAGTTCTCTCAGAGCTCTCTCAGCCCCACCTACCTCACAAGGTGTCTGTTGTGGGGAGGGGAAGGGGAAGGAGTTTGTAAGCTGCTCTGAGACTCTGAGTGAAGGGCAGGGTATAAATCCAATCTTCTTCTTCAGGCTCTAGCTTCTCACTTGAGGAACTTTGGTCTAAATTGACCGTCGAGCATTAGAAACATGGCCCATTTGTCTGAGTTTAGCTCTGCAACCCTTAAAAGGTCTGTTCGAAATCCAGCTTAGGTCTGTTCAGTGGTGCTTACTCCCAGGAAAGTGTTTTCAGGTCTCAGACATTGCTTGATCCTTAGCAGTAGGGTAAAACCTTAAAATAGGCATGGCAGTTTACCCCTAGCCTTCCCTGAGGCGGGGACCATGGGAATTCTCCTTTTGTAAGGCTGGAGTGCTGAGAAGCCTGTTAGAAATCCCTGTAGCTCCCTCCCTGAACCGCAATATCCAAAATCACTTGAGAGGCAGCCATGGGAGTGAAAGTGGCTTGCTAAATATGTAATGCAAGCACATCTCCAGAGCAGCCACCGAAATCCTCATTAGCAGTCCCTGAAGCCGTGTCAATAAACCCTTCCAACAGCCACAAGGTGGCAAGCTTTAAACATGGTAATAAATCTTGGGGGAATTTTATCATTCTAATTCCTTCTCTGCCTCTTCATACAGGTTTCGTCTTCTTGATTTGAGGTCAAGATGTCTAAGCAGCAAGAAGAGCAGGAGTTGCAGAAGTTCCTCAGGGATGTGGATGAAATTAGTAAGTAGACCGTGAAAATGTTTGGAGAGAGCCATGCCAGGGTTGAGCCACGGAGGCCGGGACACAGTTTTAAAGACTCATGCTGCATTGTGGCTTCAAGAGTCCCAGCTGCAATTAAGGGAAGCCTGGCGTATTTCATTTTGCCAAACGTTAGGGAATCTGGAGTGACGGAAGTAGTTCTTGAACCAGTTTTTATGGTGAGAATTGGGGGCACCTGAAGTGCTTCTAGCCACTGGAGCTGCAGCTTACCTGATTTCATCCAGAAATGACAACAGCCTTTTATGAGCAAGCAAACATTTGAGTGTCTCAGAACCTTTCACCAGGCTTCATATTTAGTATATACAAAAAAGGGGGGGGGAGAGAAAAAAAAATGTTTCTTAGCATGATGGAAACGCTCCAAGCCTGCAGCTTGTAGAAATCTTAACATGCAGTGCAGGAGGTGTAGCAGACCTAGGTCGTGGTCACACAGTCATTTTGATTGGGTTTCACAGCTGTTCCCTATCACATTTAAAAGGGCTGATCAGACAGCTGATTCTGTCTCCCGTATCGAAGCGGACTCACCCCCGCAATCCTCCTGGTTTTCTAGTGCGTTTTCCGACACCGGGAAAATCGAGAACTTTCCTACTTCTTGTGCTGTGAATCCGCAATTTCTCCTATCTGGACAGCCATCTCTCGCTATGAATGCGATTAGGTCATCTGTACGTCCTTCTTGCAGTAGTTCCCCCCCCCCCGGCTTTCACCATTGTGCGCATGACCAATCCTGCACTGAATGTATTAAATGCATGGACGCTCAAGTGCACATAGACCAGCGCTTGGTTGCACGTCGGTAGTTCATTTTGTTCGCTGTGGTTTTTTTTGGGAAACGCTGCATTCAAGCGGGAGCTGTGATTTGTGCATGCGCATGTGCACATGCACAAAGATTTAAAAAAAACAATTGCGCTGCGCCGCCACTTGGATGGCATAGCTGTTTAGAGAGTGCCTGGAGCCTTGTCACACTATGCAAGCGGTTGGGCAAGCAAGGTGTGATCATCCTAACCTGCTGAAAAATATCCCTGATCAAATCTACAACAGGAACAAATCGCTATAAGCTTGCCATGTGACCACACCCTTAATTAGACTAGACAGTGCTGGCTGTGAAACAGATCCCACATTTTAAGGTTTCTGCAAGCTGTAGAATAGGGACCGTTCATTCTTCCCCCCACTGCATTTCACATACAACATTAGTTGTACTGCATGAAAGGTGACTTTATCTTGCTCTTTGTGAGTGCAGTCCATATGACCCAGAAGCATCCCATACTTGAGGCAAATAGTGGCTATGTCATGTGGTGAGTTTGATACTCATACAGGATTTCCCAATGTCCAAGTCCAGCATTTTCCCGTGGCATAGTATTGTCACATCTGATGAGTTACAGCTATGATGAAATTAAATGCAGCTTGTCTGGGGTTACTGTTAGACAACCCTTTAATTATTTTACATTGTAAGAGTTGAAAAACAATACATGTAGTAGTTCACTCCCCATATTTCAGATTCCTAGATTTCTGGATGCCAGAGACACATTTCTCGATGCCTGGGGTTTATCTGTCCCTAATCTAGCCATTCAGACATTATGCAAAAGCTTCATCCTGAGATGAACAGAAAAGGTATTGTGGGGAGGATGCCATGAAAGCACAGTCTGTAGATGATTCATTAGAACAGTTTTGCCTGATAAGATTTTGCAGAAGTACAGTAATAAATGTACAAATAGTTGATCACGAGAAAGCACAGTTATGAATCTATGACAAGCTTATTGCAAGTAATCATTTGATTTATTCGCTCTCTGTGACGCAAAGATTGCCTGAAAAAAACGGGTGCCGATCAATAATTTAAAAACTTTTCCACTCGTAACTTTGTCCTGTGAGATTCACGTTTAGAAAATGTTGATAAGGCCTGGCATCTTGACAGATCGCTTCATCTGACAATTTTGAAACCCTTTTGTAAACGTTAATTTATTTATGCCATACCAGAATCTTTTTAAAGCAGGCAGTCTTGCCGATGAGACTCAGCCAAGAACAAGAGCACTGCAGTCTAAATGTGAGAATAGCAAATAGTAGCCGAGGACGAGAACAGTAGGGAGATACTGAAGACTCCCCCTCCCCCCAAGTCCTGCCTGATGGAACTGCGGCAGAAATGTAGATCTAAATCATCATCCTTCCAAGATATATGAGACATTTCTTACATAGAATTGTAAATGCTGTTGCATTCATTTGAAAACATTGTGCGCCAGTATTACAAACAGAAACATATATCCTGTCTCGCTTTGCTGTGATGCTGTCTAATTCATCTAGCCATTGTTGAGTTGTACCTGGCACACTTTTCAGATTCAACCTCGGGTTTTGTAAGACAGTCTTGTTTTGCTTCTCAGTCTTTGCCTTCCAAGAGACCTGAAACTAATCCTTAGTAAAATTTCTGATATTTACAAAAGGAACATTTTTAAATTTGCGTGTGTTTGGGCAGTGGTGGTGATAGTGCAACTGGGAGTAAACTGAAACCTGACTGATGCGGTGCACCTGTGACGTGATCATGTGCTCTAACTTCCTACCTCTGTTTTGTGTTTAGAAAATCTGCAGACATGGGAGTAAAATGTAGAAAACATTCTCTCTGTGTGTAGTCAGGTACTTATTTAGTAAGTCTGGAGGTGTGCAGGGAAGTATTCCCAACTAATATGTGAAAGAGGAAATTCAGATTTTCCTAACCTTTTACCAAGTTGAGAAACAGGACTCCCAATGTTGGTGAAATTAATTACTCCTTTCACTACTACGGTGATATGGTTGTGTGGGTACAGTGATATATGGTAACATCCCAGTTCCTTAAACGCACAAGTTCCTTAAACATCCCAGTTCCTTAAACACACATAGCCCCTCTGTATACTGCCTTGGTCAGGCCGCACCTGGAGTCCTGTGTGCAGTTCTGGAGGCCTCATTTCAAAAAGGATGTGGGCAAAATCGAGAGCGTGCAGAAGAGAGCGACAAGGATGATCAGGGGTCTGGAGACTGAGCCCTACGAGGAAAGACTAAGGGCCTTGGGAATGTTTAGTTTGGAGAAGAGGAGATTGAGGGGAGGCATGATTGCTCTCTTTAAATATGTGAAAGGGTGTCATTTAGAGGAGGGCAAGGAGCTGTTCCAGTCGGCAGCAGAGGACAGGACCCAAAGCAGTGGGTTTAAATTACATGCAGAAAGGTATCGGTTGGATATCAGGGGAAAACGTTTTCACGGTCAGAGTGGTTCAGCGGTGGAACCAGCTGCCGAGGGAGGTGGTGAGCTCCCCTTCATTGGCAGCTTTTAAGAAGAGGCTGGACGGATATTTGTCAGGGATGCTTTAGGCTGGTCCTGCATTGGGCAGGGGGTTGGACTAGATGGCCTGTATGGCCCCTTCCAGCTCTGTGATTCTATGATTCTGTGAATAAGTAGCTCGCGGGAATACACAGAACAAGGGCGTTGCCAGCTATTTGTAGGTCAGGGTTACTCATACACAGTGAAATTCATAAGCTAGCATACAGGACTCTCACAGTACTTGGGACTTACCTGAGAGGTAGTAGGGTGTGATGGTTAGATCTGACCTGGGAACACTTTGAGTTCAGATCTTCACAGGATGGAAATATAAAAGTACAGACCCTGTGAGGGGTCACCATAAGTTGGCTGCGACTTGACGGTACTTTCCACCACCACCAGTCTATACAATCGCGATGACAATATCCGTAATCATAACAGAGCTCTGAATTGCTACATACAGTCTAAACAGGATTGAGAATAGATTCAGGTGGGGTAGCTGTGTTGTTCTGAAGCAGCAGAACAAAGGTTGAGTCCATCAGCACCTTTAAGACCAACAAAGTTTAAGCTTTGTTGTGCATGCACGCTTCTTCAGATACAGTGAAGCAGTATGCATACACATGACAGCTTATACCTTGAATAAAACTTTGTTGGTCTTAAAGGTGCCACTGGACTCAGTGATTGAGACTACCAAGCAAAGGATTAAATCCGTGGCAGTTGAATAAAAGCGCCCAATGCACACCCATCAAAAGTCCACAAAGCAAACGTCCAGAAGACTTACTGCTTGCTGGCAAATTGCATTTCAAGTGGTCTTTGTCAGATAATCTTGATAAACCACTGTTAAGGTTCAGAGCTCTAAATCAATCGTTTTCTCTCAAGACTGCACATAGTTTAAGGTTAAAAAGGTAAAGGTTCCCTTGCTCGAAAGCCAGTCGAATCCGACTCTAGGGTTGTGGTGCTCATCTCCGTTTCAAAGCCGAAGAGCCAGCGCTGTCATACCTTGAATAAAACTTTGTTGGTCTTAAAGGTGCCACTGGACTCAGTGATTGAGACTACCAAGCAAAGGATTAAATCCGTGGCAGTTGAATAAAAGCGCCCAATGCACACCCATCAAAAGTCCACAAAGCAAACGTCCAGAAGACTTACTGCTTGCTGGCAAATTGCATTTCAAGTGGTCTTCGTCAGATAATCTTGATAAACGACTGTTAAGGTTCAGAGCTCTAAATCATGCGTTTTCTCTCATGACTGCACATAGTTTAAGGTTACAGCTGCTCAAATCCTCACTTTAGTTAGCATAGCATAGCCTAACTAAAGCTAATGGTGGAAGGAGCAATGACATACTCTGCCCTGGGGAATGGTGGTGGTAGAAGCAGGGGTCATTTCGTAGAAAAAGAGATGCAGGAGCTCATTAGCATAACTCATTAGCATAACTTATTTGCATATGCCACACTCCCTGACATCACCGGAAGTGTGTCAGAAGTCAACATCCACTGCTCAGGCTCAACTGGTCTGTTTTGGATTGCTAGCTATTGGGGGGGGGGGAACGGGCAGATCTGTCCTCGCAGAGGAGGGAGAGATTGTACCTGAATAAGACTTGGTCTTAAAGGTGCCACTGGACTGTTTTGGACCAGGGGGCCGGGGGGAGCTCTGCAATTTACCTGGCTGCTTCTTGCTCTGACTGAGGGCTACTGGGAGCAGGGGGTAGGGCTTGTTGCATGTGCCCGCCCCCTGGGCTCTTTACTGCCGGAGCTCCGCTCCCGTGCGCTCCTGCAGGAAATGACCCCTGGGTAGAAGGATATAAATTCTGCTTAAGAGTGCACTGCCATTGTCTTCGTCGCCTTAAGGTGTACTTTATTTAATTGCATCGTTTGTCTGGACTGCATTTTTGTCAGCCATTTTGGATCCCCGTTGGGTAGAAAACAGACAGATGCGTAAGGTAAATTCCAGGATTCCATATTGGGATTAAGATATTGGCTACATACCGGAGAACCATAGCACAAGTGGGAAAGATAAGAGAGGAACTGCACTGCAGTCCACGGGGCCCTCTCTGTATTAGTGCAGACGGGAGAGAGCTGTATTCTGAAACGACTGTTTGTGTTCTCTGCTGCCATAGTGCCGTACGCTTCAATTTCCTCCATTGTCTGTTCTACTTGCACTGCAGAGACAGAGGTCAAGGGAGACATCTGGGAAGATGGAGTGATGAAAAGATGATTGTAATTGGGCTGGTGCAGAAGAAAGCGTAACTGGAACAACCACCTGATCTTTCCCCTCTTTATTCGCGTCTCCCGTGTCGGTTTAAATTGACTTTCTAATTCGCCACTTGGAGAAATTTCAATTATTGCCTGGGTCATCTGTTTTTCTACAAACATGAGCTCCACAAAGGCAGGACTTCAGTGGGAGCAGGCGTCCAGAACAGTCAATCTGTTCAGCGGAGATAAAATGCTGACTTTGGAATAGTTACGTCGCCCGCATAAAAATGTTTTTCTTTTTCAAATCTTTTGGAATGCTCAGAGGTGCAGCGCGTTCTGCCGTGCTCTGGCAGAGCGCTTCAATTAACTCCGGGCTGGGCAATTTGTCCAGCATTGAAGTCCACATCAAAAAGGCCGTTCAGAGCCCCGGAGGCAGCATATTTGAGGCATCTGCAGTTTGTGTTGTTTGCATCTCCTCGTCTGAGGATTTGGGCTGCCAAAACATAACTGAGGGATGAATTGTACCTATTTCTCCAACGCTCCTGGTGCCAAAATCTGTACCATCAAGAGTGACAAATATGTGCCTGGCTTTCGAAAGACCTGATGTTTGGTTTCTGAGTCCTCACACAGAGTACTCCTATGCAGAATTACTCCAGCCCAAGCCCATTATGGGGCTCCAGTGGCTCAAGTGGTTAAGACGCTGAACTGCAGACTGGAAGGTCTGTAGTTCAGCAATTCGAGACCCGAGTGTCGCATGACGGAGTGAGCTCCTGTCTCTGGTCCCAGCTCCTGCCAACCTTGAAAATGGAGATGAGCACTGCATCCCTAGAGTCGGATCGGTAGTTCAGCAATTCGAGACCCGAGTGCCGCATGACGGAGTGAGCTTCTGTCTTTGGTCCCAGCTCCTGCCAACCTTGAAAATGGAGATGAGCACCGCATCCCTAGAGTCGGATTCGACTGGCTTTCGAGCAAGGGAAACCTTTATCTTTGGGCTGTGGTGGCTCAGTGGTTAAGACACTGAACTGCAGACTGGAAGGTCGGTAGTTCAGCAGTTCGAGACCCGAGTGCCGCATGACGGAGTGAGTTCCCATCTCTGATCCCAGCTCCTGCCAACCTAGCAGTTCAAAAGCAAGAAACTGCAAGTAGATAAATAGGTACCGCTTCAGTGGGAAGGTAACAGCATTCCATGCGCCTCGGCATCTAGTCATGCCGGCCACATGACCATGGAAACGTCTTTGGACAGCGCTGGCTCTTCGGCTTGGAAAGGGGGATGAGCACCGCACCCCTAGAGTCAGATTCGACTGGCTTTCAAGCAAGGGAAACCTTTACCTTTACCAAGGGAAAGGAGCAGTCCTAGGCTGGAGCAACTCTGCATAGGATTGCGCTGATAGAAACTCACGAGTCGAAAAGGAACCTTCTATGCCAAGCCTCTGCACAGTGCAGGAGAGCCAAAGCTACAGCAGTCTCGACAGGTGACTGTGTAGGCTCTGCCGAAAGAACCCCCCAACTCTCCTAGATAAATAGTTCCGTGGTTTTACTGTGAGGAAGCTTAATCTTGAGCTGAAATCTACAGCCTTGCTTTCTGTACCGGTGACGAAGAAGTCTCTGCCCTTTGCCCTTTCTATTTACTTTGTTTGGAAGAAGAGGAGGTTGTATTTATACCCCGCCCTTCACTCCACGAAGGAGTTTCAGAGCGGCTTACAATCTTCTTCCCCTTCCCCTCCCCACAACAGACACCCTGTGAGGTAGGTGGGGCTGAGAGAGCTCTTTCGAGGACTGCCCATGAGAGAACAGCTTGGAGAGAACTTGTGACTAACCCAAGGTCACTCCAGCAGCTGCATGTGGAGGAGTGGGGAATCAAACTTGGTTCTCCCAGATTAGAGTTCACAGTCCTAACCACTACACCAAACTGGCTCTCACACCAAACTGGCTTTATACCCCACTTTTCTCCAGAAAGAGGTCCCAAAGTGGTGTACATCATTCTCTCTTCCTCTGCTTAATCCTCACAACAACCCTGTGAGGGAGGCTGTACTGAAAGGCGTGGTTGGCCCAAGGTCACCCAGTGAGTTTCCATGGCAGGGTGGGGATCTGAACCCAGGTCTCCCACATCCTAGTCCTGCACTCTAACCACTACACTCTACTGCTGCTAGATGCCAGCGTGACAGCCCTTCAGTTATTTGAACAGCAAAATCATCTACCCATCAGTTTTTTCTTCTCTTCTCCTGGCTCAGCATGCCCAGTTCCTTCTACATTGCCTTGTAGGACTTGTTGTCCAGATCCCTAACCACCTCTCTGAATGGGTCCCAATCACTGTTCCCTCTAAGCTGAGTGAGTGTGAGCTAGCTCACAGTTTTTTAGCCTCCAGCTCACAGATTTTTGTCCTAGCTCAGGAAGGATCGCTCCAGAGCAAACTGATTTATGCAGTTGCCAAATCGCTCATCCACAACTTTAATGCCAGTAGTTCACAAAGTAGAATTTTTCCTCACAAGATTCCACAGCTTAGAGGGAGCATTGATCCCAATATGTCTCTGTCCTAAATTGCAGTGCCCAGAACTGATTGTAGCATTTCTATTAATGTCACCTTAAACTGCACGAGCATTTTTTGCAGCTGCAACACTGTGCCAGCTCTTGTTCAGCTTGTGGTAGTGGAAAGGGTTGTCAACAGGGGTCATTTCCTGCAGGAGTGCACAGGAGCGGAGCTCCAGCAGTAAAGAGCCCAGGTGGCGGGCACATGTAACAAGCCCCACCCCCTGCTCTTCCTCTCCCTCTTTCTTTCCATTTCCCTCCTGAGCCCAGGGGGCGGGCACATGCAACCAGCCCCGCCCCCTGCTCCTTCTCTCCCTCTTTCCTTCTTTTTCCTTCTTTCCCTCCTTCTTTCCGTCTCTCTCTCTCTCTCTTTCTTTCCCTCCTTCTTTCCTTCTCTCTCTCTCTTTCTGCACAGATCTATGTGAGGGCAGATGTGTGTGTCCCCCCACCCCAGCTAGCAATCCAAAACAGTCCAGTGGTGCCTTTAAGACCAAGTTTTATTCAGGTACAAGCTCTCCCTCCTCTGTGAGGACAGATCTGCATGTCCGTCCGTCCCCCCAATAGCTAGGAATCCAAAACAGTCCAGTGGAGCGTGAGCGGTGGGTGTTGCCTTCTGACACACTTCTGATGTCAGGAAGTATGGCATATGCAAAGAAGCTATGCTAATGAGTTATGCTAATGAGCTCCTGCTCTTTTTCTACGAAATGACTCCCGGTTGTCAAGGTGCAGGTGACTTAAGGGAGACCCTGTCGGGTTTTCAAGGCAAGAGACTAACAGAGGCAGTTTGCCGTTGACTGCCTCTGCCTGGCGATCCTGGACTTCCTTGGTGGTCTCGTATCCAAGGGCTAGTCAGGCGCTGACCCTGCTTAGCCTCTGGGATCTGATGAGATCGGGCCAGCCTGGGCCAGCCCGCACAGGGTGCTCAGCTTGTAGTCCCCTGAAATTCACCTGTACTACTGCTCTATTCCCCATCTTATGCCTGTGCATTTGATTCTTCTTGGCCTTTTTTAGGATTCTGTGAACTTAGGCAGATCACAAGAGGGAGGGCAGGAAGGGTTGCCTCACTGCTTAGTTCTTGTGGCCCTTTCTACACGCCCAGGGGAATGCTGATTGACACTTCGGGGCCAGGAAGCAATCCTGGAGGGTTTTTTTTGTTATATTCTGGGCATGGAACAGCGATCACTGCAGGTGTGGAGGGGGAGGTATTTGTGAGTTTCCTGCATTGTGTGTGTGGGGGGTCCCTTCCAACTCTATGATTCTGGGGTCTTTTTTTAACCAGTGTCTCAAAGCTAGGTGCTTATTTCTTGAATTGTTTAGGTTTTTTACCTCCTGTAATTTCAGTTGTGCATCTGCAGCTCCCAAGAGGGTTCACAGTTTGTTTTTTTTAAATGAATCAAATTTGCTGGTTTCTAGCCAGAGCTTGATAAAAATGGGGAAATATCTCTGGGTTGTTGCACTGGGCACACTGCAATTTGTCTTAGACTTGCATACTTACTTCTCTTTGTCATTCTTTTCAGCCAGCTTGATTCAAGGTCTGAATTCCAGCGACCTGGCGGTTATGGAGAAAGCCATCGCAGGTACAGAGAAAAGACTCAGCTCCAGTAAGGAGAAAGAAGAGAGCGAATGCAGGCACCGGGTGGACCGGACACTCATCAATCCACGGCCTTCTGTAAAGGTTCTGTCTTCTTTTTAAACGGGGGGTCCAGGCAACCCACGCATTCAGCCAGGATGCCAGACTGTGGCTTCTGCCCCTGTTCGTTTTTCCGACCCTGCCTGCGTAGGAAACTGTCTACGACTTTGCAGCATATCGATCGTTGCTGTTTCCCTTTCCAGCATGCGTTACAATTCACATAACATTTCAGAACACGTTACTGTTATTTGAAACCATTTTGGTTCAGTATTGAGAATCGTTTCTGTATCCTTTATCTGCCTGTCATACCGCTGTTCAGTTTTGGTTTGATTGCCTCTGATTATGTCACTGTTGGTGATACCAGATCAGTCCTTTTCAGTCGCTACTCAGCTGTAGCCAACGGAAGATGGATCAGCACCACTGTTCCTTCTGAGCTGAGTCAGTGTGAGCTAGTTCACAGTTTTTTAGCCTCCAGCTCACAGATTTTCGCCTTAGCTCAGGAAGGAGGGTTCCAGAGCAAGCTAATTGATGCAGCAGCCAAATCGCTCACTCACAACTTTAATCTCACAACTTTAATGCTCACAAGACCCCACAGCTTAAAGGGAGCATTGACACTTCCAGCAGAATGTGACCCTGGCGCTGTGCATTCTGACACTTCAGGATCCTGTCACTTGGGTCCCACCACATTCTGCTGCATGAGTAGAGCGTTGACTGGAGCAGGTCAAAGGGACCGTATCACTCCAGTCTTCTTCTACCTACACTGGCTTCCAGTTTGCTTCTGGACTCAATTCAAGGTGTCGGCATTGACCTTGAAAGCTCTGTATGGCCTAAAACCAACGTACTGTAAGGACAGCCTTCTCCCATAGAAACCTGCCCCCGTACCCCAGACATCCTCAGAGGCTTTGCTTCGGTTGTCCCCGCTGTCTGAATTTAGAGGGGTGGCGACCCAAGAAAAGGCCTTTTCTGCAGTGGCACCAAAACTTTGGCATTCCCTCCCCAGGGAGATTCGTCTGTCTCCCTCTATCGGTGCCTTTTGCCAGCAGGTGAAGACTTTTTTGTTTCAGTATGTTGTCAAAGGCTTTCATGGCCGGAGTTCATTAGCTGTTGTAGATTATCCGGGATGTATGGCCGTGGTCTTGGCATTGTAGGACCTGACGTTTCGCCAGTAGCTGTGGCCGGCTTCCTCAGAGGTATAACACAGAAAGATGGAGTACTCTCTGTGTCAAGGTGAGAAGCAAAATGGTAGGCAGGTAAAATGTCTTCCTGAGTAGATATAAATTACCTGCCTACCATTTTTCTTCTCACCTTGACACAGAGAGTACTCCGTCTTTCTGTGTTATACCTCTGAGGATGGCAGTCACAGCTGCTGGTGAAACGTCAGGTCCTACAATGCCAAGGCCATGGCCATACAAACCAGATCATCTACAACAGCTAACTTTTTTGTTTCATCTGGTAGACCCCCAAGAATGGTTACTGGTGCTCCTTCTAGTGTTGTTGTGTGTGGCCCTGATTGGATGGAGACTGGCATAAAAATCTTTAAAATAAACAAATGGGTAGATCCACCCAGCCAGCCTTCTGTCAGACTCCTTGGCAAGTGACTCTCAGCCTTTGGCAGTGAAAGGCTTTATTGAGATATAAACAAGTTCCAGGCGTGAACAGTACTGTGTCAGTTCTAAAGCTTCTTGGTGGGTACGTACATAGATATAGGTAGTTCAAACGGTAAAGTCAAGGTCATCTCCCCTTGAACCAGAGAGAGGTTCGTCTTCGAGAAAGGTTGTGCTGTTTAAGATAGAGCATTCACACACTCCACACTCACTCCCTCCACCTAAGGAATTCCCCTCCTCCTGCATCTAGGGCAGGCCGAGGGAAGAAATGTTTGACACCTTCCCAGGCGGACAGGACTTAATTGCACCTCTTCCAATTATGCAGATCATGGCCCCCCCACACACTGTTGCAAAACCTTTTCAGGACTGTCTCCTAAACATTTCCCTGCTGCAGGCAGGAGTTTTCTCTTCAGAGCAGGGGCTGTAATAGCGGCATGCAGGGCAGCATGCTTTCATGGCACTTGAAGGCATCAACCCGCAGCTGCCGTTTGCCCGGTCGAGGGGCCTCTGAAATCATGTGCCAAATTGATTTCGTATCCCGAGCCCAGAATTATTATTTTTTTTCCATTGTTTGTTTTCCTTCCTTCCTGTGGCTTTTTTAAAACGTTCCTGACGGAATTAATTCCGACAGCTTTGGAGAAGCGCTGCTCCACTTTTGAAGTGGAGGTTATTACAGGGTGGTGTTTTTTTTAAGTGGCTTTGAAAAATGGGGTTGATCTGGTTTTCCTCGTTTCTCATATTCTTCGTGCAGCGGGAACCTTCCAACAGATAAAAGTTAAGGATCATCACTGAGCAATATGTTACAGCAAATGTGCCCTGTTCCTTTCCCCCCCCAGGCCTCAGAGCTAATGTTTTGCTTCCACCTGTCTCTTGTAGGATTTGCCAAATCAGGAGGGGATGATGAATCCTGGTAAGATAAATCACCGCCTGTGTGTATTTCTCATTACAAGAGCACAGGGAACTCTGCGCCACATTTGTTCCGAGCTCTCCCTACATCTAGGTGGGTCTTGAAGAGTAGGAGTGAAATTGAGAACCCGGGAGACTCCTCGGCTGTTTCCAGTTTGGAGCTGAGAGTGGGGGTGACGGGAGCAGGTATTGTGCCATGAGCCAGCTGCCACCCTCCTTCCGGCCCCTCCCTCATTTGGTGTAGCCAGTTTGGTGTCGTGGTTAAGTGCGCGGACTCTAATATGGGAGAACTGGGTTTGATTCCCCCCTCCTCCACTTGCAGCTGCTGGATGACCTTGGGCAAGCCATAGTTCTGGCACAGCTGTTCTTGAAAAAGAGCAGTTTCTGTCAGAGCTCTCCTGGCCCCACCCACCTCACAGGGTGCCTGTTGTGGGGAGGGGAAGGGAAAGGAGTTTGTAAGCCGCTCTGAGACTCCTTCAGGTAGTGAAGGGCGGGGTATGGATCCAATCTCCTCCTCCTCTTCTTCTTCTTCTTGTAGCCTCAGCGGAGGAGACCACTCCCCGATGTTAGGTGCCAGGCCAAAACCTTATCTTTCAGCTCAGGCTTTTAATTAAGGGTGTGATCTTCTAACATCGTTTTATAGCAGGAGTGGCCAAACTTGCTTAACATAAGAGCCACGCAGAATCAGCGTCAGATGTTTGAGAGCCGCAAGACATAAGCAGATATCACACACACATTTTTATCGAAAAATATGCAAATTTGCTTGTTATTAACATTAAATGAGACTGCCAAAAATAAAAACAAACGGGGTTAAAAACAGATATTGATAATGATATTTATTTATCCATTAATATTTGTAGGCGGGGGGGGGCTTTGAGAACGCATTTAAAGTTAAAGTTGCTTTCTTTCCCTGCTCCCCCCCCACCTCAAGCCTACCCAGCCGCCCTCCCAGGAGCCGCACAATATGTGTGAAAGAGCCGCAGTTTGGCCACCCCCGTTTTATAGTCTGCTTCTGGCCTGAGGTCTGTTTTAGGCGGCTCCTGCTAAGCTGCTCAGTGTTTCATGCTGGTCAGGATGCCCTGCCTGCATTTCTGACGTTGGATTTTTTAAAATTGTGTTTTGCTTTGTGAGCCGCCTGGAGCTGCTTCTCTGGAAAGGTGGCACAGGAATGTTCTTAGTTAATAAACATTTGTGACAGTTGTGCTGCTTCTGGCGATAGTCCCGTGAGCTTCAAAGCGGGCTAGCCATTGTGCCTCAGGACCCGTCCCCTCCCCTCCCTTTCCCTCAGCTCCCTGGTTCTGAGTCTGTTCGATGGAATGGCATGTTGCTCTTAATTTAGCAACTTAACCGGAATTCTACATGTTCAAAAGATAGTTTTTCCCTTTCGGCTTTAAAACCAGAACTATTTCGATCTGCATTGACTTCAGTGGGAGAACAGGCATCTACAAAACAGGCCTTTAAACGGCTTGCATCTTCAGTACTTTGGAAGGTGACGCCCAGCAGATGTTATCATATTCTTCATTATCTGGAGATTAGAAGCCCTCATCGACTTGAGATGTTCCTTCTTTCAAAGGCAGGGATTAAAATCCTTATGAGCAATTTCCATAGGGGGGAGCTTATTACCCTAATTTTGATTTGGTGTCACGTTAATGAAAAGGCTCCCTTGGCTTTCCGTTCCACATCTCAGAAACGACTTTGAACTCTTCTGCTTTTTAGGTGTGTGGTTTTTTTTAAAGATCAAGTGGTTTTATTTTTCTATTGAGCTTCTCTCCACTCTTTCAGAGGCCTTCATGTCTGCTTTAGAAAAGGACGCCAATGAGCGTGCCAGGAGACGGAGGAAGAATGAAGCCCTTGCAAATGGTAACAATTGGACACGGGCATCTTGGGGAGACGGGACCGGGGAGAGGGTACTTTGGTGAACAGGGAGGCTGCTGGCTCTTGCAAGGCTCTGGAAGGAAGGACCTGGGGCATTCCAAACCACCGGCGTTCTCGTGACCAGCACTGATAAGGAATTCCTTCAGTCAGACAATAATTTTCCATTTGGCTTATTGCATGTCGTCAAACATAGCTAAAACAGGCCAAACGGTATTCATAGCATCACTTCATTTGAACGCCGTGAGTTTGTGATTAAAAGAGAGTTTGCACAATTTTTACTTAAATAAAGAAACTTATATTTTACTTGGACTGGGTTATTAAGCCTCACAAACTGACCTGACACTGTTCTTAAGGGCCAGTTAACACAAGCACAGGAACAAAGATAGGCTGCCACCAAGTCACTTTCAGAGTTCCCAACAGGTCTGGAGCAAAAGTGACTTAAATCTCCAGGCTGACACAGGAACACAAATCCAAGAACAAGTCTGCAGACTCCACCGCAGGCTTGAACAAAGACACGCAATTGGTAGTAGTAAGACCCAGTAGTCTAAGACACAGAATTTAGACTCTGAAGTTCGTGAGGCTTAATAACCCAGTCCAAGTAAAATATAAGTTTCTTTATTTAAGTAAAAATTGTGCAAAGTTATAAAACACGAGACTTTAGGCAGTGAAGGACAAAACAATAAATCTAGGCTTTTGCAGCATAGCTAATTACTTACAGCAATGTACAAGCAGTTTACCCGCATAAGGCTTCAAAGTATCAAAGTCTTTGTAGAGGCAGAGTGCAAGTCCAGAGTGCATATTCCCATCAGGGGTAGTCCAAGTATTCAAGGCATAATGAGGGTTGCTTCAGAGTATTGACCAGGCTTGGCCAAGATACCCGAAGAATCCTACATGGTCACTAAGAACCACGTTACTTATAGGAAAAAGGCTATGAATGATCCAGGCCTGTTGACCATTCACAGTCTTGCAAAGTGATGTCACTCTTGCCAGTAACTAGGGTGACCAACATCCCATAATACTTGTTTTTGAGCTATAGGGAAACGAAACTTAACATTCTTCAAGATGGTTCCATCTCCCTCCCCACACAGGTGCTATCACTTGGGAATGTGTTAATTAATTAATGGCCCCACAGGCTAGCACAGCTAAGTGCCAGCTGCAGGAGTCAAGGACATAATTCTCCTCCTTATCAGGACCTTCAGGACCTCCTTCTCTGTCTCCATGGTAACCCAGACACCTCGTTAGCTTTCTCACAACTTACAATCTACCAAGGATTCCACGGCCCCAAGTAGGCCTTGAGAAGCCTTTGACCAAAGTTTGGTCAAGCAAGCAGGCAAGCAAACTAAAATGGTGTCTGATCTGCATTACAGTGACCCGTGCCCCTCTGCAATTTGTGATTAATGTTACTTGTTAGGAATGAATTGGAGCCAAAGATTTAGGTGTTGTGGCACCTTAGGGACCGACAAGATTTTCAGGGTATACACCCTTTCAAGAGTCAGAGCTCCTTTTGTCAGATACAAGTTGGAGTGGAGATCCCCAAGCCCTCCTACCCCAGTCTGAAGGTGGGAGGGGTATAGCAGAGAAGGGAGTCCGGATGCAGAGGCGCCATGCCCATTGGCATTGGCTTGGTTAGAGCAGAGGAGAAGTGTGACGAGGGGCAGAAAATCAGCAACTGTAGTGAGATTAGGATCCCGACTCCCTGTTTATAAATGTTGCAGTTTTGCAGATAAATATGAGTCCAGGCTGATGTTTCTTTCAAGAAGGAAAACGTTTACTTTCAGGCACACAGTAGCTTTCAGGCACACAGAACAAATAAATAGGTACAGTGCTGGTCTCTCTCCCGGTCTGCAACAGATCTAGCAAGGAAGGGACAAGTGAAACAGAAATGAAGAGAACAGACTTCTAAACCCCAGTTAGTTTCTAGGCAACATCAGCCCCTCTGTCTTTTGGACAACTTTGCAACCCTCCGATTGCCTCTCCGCTTCTGCAGTGTGTGATCCATCACGGTCACAATACTGCTTCAGCCCGGGACCAAAACAGCTACCCTCGGAAAAAATCTAGGTGGTTATTGTGAATCACCGTTTCAAAAGTCCTTCTCACTTGTGATCATGGGCACTTTCTAACCAAGACTTTAATAAAAAACTTTTATGTTAGATAGTTTATTTGTACACCGTCTCCCAGCTGAAAGTCCCCAAGGCCAGTCCTGTTTTATGGCTGTTCCCTCTGCAGCACTGAAAGAACAGGGGAATGATGCTTTCAGCAGAGGGGACTTTGCAGCAGCCATCCAGAAGTACACAGAAGGCCTGAAGAAGCAGAAGGATATGCCGGCACTGTACGCCAACAGAGCCCAGGTCAGTGCGGCACACGAGCAGCTGCAGTGCTTGTGGGCTTCTCACTGTAAATTAGTCCAGGCAGCCTTCTGGTCAGCATAACCCTCATCCGCTTTCCTTTCATCACATCTGTATTCGGTCCTCTGCTGGATGTCCGGGGTTAGAAACGCACCCCTTGTTTTCATGTATCGCAGGACTCTATGTCCTTGGTTCAGCTAACATCACCCTCTGGTTTATTTATTAATTAAAATATTTATACCCCTCTGGGCCCAAGGTGGACTGAGGCTCCCCTTCCCAGTGAGGAGAATCGCATACTAGTTGCACTTTATGTGTCGCGGCCACAGGCGTCTTCTGTGATTTGCGGTGTCATTTTTTTCTATAGACGTAGATGGTGGTAGGGGAGATAAGAGGCTACACTCAAAAAGCAACAGGGTGATGTTAGGATTTCCATCACGACACCAGAGCAGCCCTGCTGGATCAGACCAGTGGTTCATCTAGTCCATGGGTGGCCAAACTGCAGCTTGGGAGCCACACGCGGCTCTTTCACAGAGACCGATTTCCCACAAACGCTGCTCCACGCTCGCTCTTCCCTTTTGCCCCGATGGTACGTGTCAATTTCACACAAGCTGCTGCGTGGCCACATTTTGCCCCGGAGCTTCGCGCGATTTCCCCCGGGTCGATTCAATCCCGTTTTTTGAGGATTGAGTAGACGCGGGGGAAATGGCGCAAAGTTGCGGGGCAAAATGTGGCCGCGCAGCAGCTTATGTGAAATTGATACGTACCATGGGGCAAAAGGGAAAAGTGAGCACAGAGCAGCGCTTGTGGGAAATCGGCCACAGTCTTAATTTAATGTTAATAAAAAGCAAATTTGCTTATTTTTTCAATAAAAATGTGTGTGTAATATTTATTCATGTCTTGTGGCTCTCAAACATCTGACGTTTCTTCTGAGGGCCGGTTACATTTAGCAAGTTTGGCCACCCCTGGTCTAGTCTAACTAGATGTTATTGTTTTGCTGTTTTGCTGTTTAATTGTTTTAACATGAATTGTGAATATATTTATGGAAATGTTGCTCAGGAGGGCAGTCTAAAAGCTGAATTTATAAATAAATAAACAACTTCTGCCTTCACACCATAGCCATCTGGGTGCCTCCCGGAAGTTGGCCCTCATTGAGGGGAAAAGTGGCATACAGATTTTGTAAACAGAGAAATAAGTACAAGCAGGTTATGGAGGCAAAAGCCTGCTCCGCTAATTGTCTTCACCAACTGGTATTGAGAGGTACAGAACATGGAGGCTCTGTTTTGTCATGATGGCCTATAGCCGTTGATGGGGCTGTGTTGCAGAATTAGGCAAGTTGGTGGAAGATCATTCCACCTGTCGTGGCGTAAATGCATCAGCACATCCAGTGGTAATGAGTTCGACAAGTCACTAGTCTGTCTTTGGGGTCAGGAAGGACTTTTCCTCCGGGCCAGATGGCCCCAGGGATCCTGTTTCCCCCCCCCTTCCTCTGGGTATAGAACAGGGGTCATTGGGTGAGTGGAGGGGGGGGGGGAGAGGTAGATGTGAATTTCCTGCATTTTGCAGGGGGTTGGTGTAGTGGTTAAGTGAGTGGACGCTAATCTGGGAGAACTGGGTTTGATTCCCCACTCCTCCACTTGCAGCTGCTGGATGATCTTGGGAGAGGCATAGTTCTGTCAGAGCTGTTCTTGAAAAAGAGCAGTTTCTGTCAGAGCTCTCTCAACCCCACCTACCTCACAGGGTGACTGTTGTAGGGAGGGGAAGGGGAAGGGAAAGGAGATTGTAAACCGCTCTGAGACTCCTTCACGTAGTGAAGGGCGGGGTATAAATCCAATCTCTTCTTCAGTCACAAGTTCTCTCACAGCTGTTCTCTCAAGAGCAGTTTCTGTCAGAGCTCTCTCGGCCCCACCTGCCTCACAGGGTGTCTGTTGTGGGAAGGGGAAGGGAAAGGAGATTGTAAGCCGCTCTGAGACTCCTTCAGGTAGTGAAGGGCGGGGTATAAATCTAATCTCCTCCTCCTCCTCCTCGGGGTCCTTCCCAGCTCTCTGTTCATATGTTTTTCTCAATCTGTCTGGTACCCTTTTGTCCTTCCCTGCTTCCAGGGAGCTTTGTGCAGCATATGTGCATCTCCCATCCCTTCCCCCCCCCCTCACAAGAGCCCTGTGAGGTAGCTCAGGGTAAGAGCAAACGACCTTGCTCTTCAATTAGCCTCATGGTGGAGTGAGGATTTGTACCCCACACTTAATATGCATTGCACGGTCTCCTTACGTGTTGTAGGAAGAATGTTCTTTTGTCTCGATATTACCACCTTCAAGCCACTCTGGTTTTGGGGGCACAGATAACCCAAGGAAGATAAGCTGTGTACAGATGCTTCTTAGAAGTGAAGGCAAACTTTTAGCAGCTTGGAGTGCAAGAACAGATGCTGTGTTCCCAGGCCTTTCTGGAGTCTGGGCACGTCTCAGCTGAGGTGAAATCCTGCAAAGCATTTCACTCAGCTTGCGCTTGCCTCATAAGAGGATTTGGTGGGCTTTCTTCCCATGTTCCCTGCAATGACTACGGAGAGTTGAGAGTCTGGTCGGGGCAGGGGTCATTTCCTGCAGGAGCACAGGGGAGCGGCGCTCCGGCAGTAAAGAGCCCAGGGGATGGGCACATGCAACAAGCCCCACCCCCTGCTCCCAGCAGCCCTCAGTCAGAGCAAGAAGCAACCAGGTAAGTTGCAGAGCCCCCCCCCCCGGCCCCCCGGTCCAAAACAGTCCAGTGGCACCTTTAAGACCAAGTTTTATTCAGGTACAAGCTCTCCCTCCTCTGCGAGGACAGATTTGCATGTTCCCCAGCCCCCCAATAGCTAGCAATCCAAAACAGTCCAGTGGAGCCTGAGCGGTGGGTGTTGCCTTCTGACACACGTCCAGTGATGTCAGGGGGTGTGGCATATGCAAATTAATGAGTTATGCTAATGAGCTCCTGCACCTCTTTTTCTACGAAATGACCCCTGGGTCGGGGTATTTGTAGGCCAAATGACTTCAGTTCCACTTATCCTGCACTGAACACAGCAAGCTGCCCTATCCTGAATCAGACCATTAGTTCATCAAAGTCAGTCTCGTCTACTCAGACTAGTGGCTACTCTCCAGGCTCTCAGGCAGAGGTCTTTCGCATCTCCTGCTACCTGATCCCTAACTGGAGATGTCAGGGTTTGAACCTGGGACCTTCTGCATGCCAAGCAGATGCCCTGCCGCTGAGCCACAGCCCCTCCCTGCCATTAAAAGAGGGCACAGCTCAGATTTTGCTGCCGTGGGCTCCCCGAGAGATGCCAGGAAACCAAACCAAAACCATCGTGCCCCTCTGAGGTTCAGAAGAGGCTGGAGGCAGCCCCGTTGATTTCTGTGCGGATGCATGCGTTGCAATGAGGCTGTCAGCAGCACGTGGGCTGGTACTGGACGAAGGAGGCAGGCTGCGCCCAAAGACTTGGGGTGTGCCCAGACGAACCCTGTTTTAGCTGTCAGGCACGTTACTTCAGCATGCTCCATTCACCTTTGTCTGGACAAACTACCTGTGCAGTCTACAGGGTGGGTTTCTTACAGTGAGCCCAGGGTGTGGCTGGGAAGTCGTGTCCCTTACCTTGATTGTCCACTATGGTGGTTCCTAAGTGGGAGTGTGGGAAACTGCCCCCAGACTGCACTCCTCGAGTGCTCAAAAATGCCGCCACACTTCCCTCTCATTGCCTTTGCTACTGGAACGGGGCTCTTGGTCCCTTTACAATTAATTTGTCAAGTGTTTTAAGAGGCTGTTCTATGAAACGATCTACTATGGTGGTATTGCGTTCTCTGACTAACTGGTGCAGAACTCAGGTGGGCAGCCATGTTGGTCTGAAACAATAGGACAAAATTTGAGTCCAGTGGCACCTTTTAAGACCAACGAAGTTTAATTCTGGGTATAAGCTTTCGTGTGCATGCAACGAAGTTTAATTCTGGGTATAAACTTTCGTGCGCATGCACATGAAAGCTGCTAACCAGAATTAAACCTTGCTGGTCTTAAAAGGTGCCACTGGACTCAAACTTTGTTCTGGTGCAGAACTCGCAGGTCTGATAATTTAGAACCTCTTTTTCTTTTTCAAAAGTCACGGTGCTCTAATTTAGAGCCTCTCAGGTGGGTAGGCATGTTAGTCTGTAGTAAAGGTAAAGGTTCCCTTGCTCGAAAGCCAGTCGAATCCGACTCTAGGGTTGCGGTGCTCATCTCCGTTTCAAAGCCGAAGAGCCAGCGCTGTCCGAAGACGTTTCCATGGTCATGTGGCCGGCATGACTAAACACCAAGGCGCACGGAACGCTGTTACCTTCCCACCAAAGTGGTCCCTATTTATCTACTTGCAATTTCTTGCTTTCGAACTGCTAGGTTGGCAGGAGCTGGAACTAGAGACGGGAGCTCACTCCATCATGCGGCACCCGGGTCTCGAACTGCTGAACTACCGACCTTCCACAGCCTGCAGTTCAGCGTCTTAACCACTTGAGCCACCGCAGCTCCTAGTCTGTAGTAGTAGCAGAAGAAAAATCGAGTCCAGAAGCCTCTTAAAGATCAACAGAGTTTTCTGGGGTAGGAGCTATTGTGAAGCAAAGCTTACTTTGCGGGCACAAAAGATCCCTGTAATTTAGAGCCGTAGCTCTTCATGTCTATTGTTGAGTGAATTCTCTCTATCGCAGTGACTGGTACTTTTGACAGTCATTTATAATAGGACTGCAACTTTGTGCCTTTTGCCCTCTGGCATAGAAAAAGCTCCAGGACTGCTCCCCACGCATTCTCTGACTTCCTTTGTGTCATTTCTGTGTGGCTTAATGACATATGAGCATGGAAGTGAGCCTCTAAGAGTACGGAGCAACTGCCAGTTACTTTACAAGAGTCCACTTTTCTGGTTTTCCCTCCCTGAGAGTAGAGACGCATCTCTTCTGGGAGTTGGGAGTCAACTGAGGATCCTGTGCAGCGAGCCATCCCCCGGCCCGTACCTGTCTTCTGGGTCAGGAAGGCTCCCACCCTCCTGGGTCTCTGCAAGTTCTGCGAAGCTGAATTATTCAAGAGGCCTTTTTGCACAGCAAATAGAGCTGCCCTGTAACAATATGGTTCAGAAAGAAGCCTGGGGTAAAGGGTCAGGGACTGTAGACTGTACCGCTGTGAATAGTTCGTACTGTCTGCTGCTGTAAGTAGGAAGTAGTCTCCTACTATGTAATTCTTGCTTTCGTTTAATGTATCATGTTAATATGTTGTCGAAGGCTTTGACACAGAGAGTACTCCATCTTTCTGTGTTATACCTCTGAGGATGCCAGTCACAGCTTCTGGCGAAACGTCAGACCCTACAATGCCAAGACTACGGCCATACAGCCCAGAAAATCTACAACTAATATCATGTTAATACTTCTGCTGTGCCTCTCCTCTGGTTCGCTTCCCTTGCAATGTCTTTTGGATGTCCCGCTCTGTTGATTGAACTGATTTATTCTATGTAAGCCGCCTTGAGTCCCTGTGAGAAAGGTGGACTATAAATAATGTTAATACGTACATAGTAAATACTGCTTAATAGGGATGGGCACAAACCACATTTTTTGCAGTTCTGAACCATGAACCTATATGAACCGGGAGGCTGGTTTGTGAACTGAACCAGTTCGTATGGGTTTGTGACCCCTGCTTTCTGCTCCCTGTTGCTCCCTGCTTTCTGCTCCCTGTTGCTTTTGGCAGTGAGCAGAAAGCAGGGGGTTAAGTAGCTCCAAGCCATTTAAACCAAACAGCTGAGCCATGGGAGCAAGCTGCCCCTGCGACTCAGCTGTTTCCAGTCTAATCAGCTGAGTGGCCAAGAGCTGCCTGTTCCTGCCACTCAGCTGTTTTGGGGGATTTCGCGGGGAGTAGAAAGCATGGGTTTAAATCCTTGCTTTTTGCTCCCCATGAACCCACAAGCCTCCACAAACTGCCTTAAAAGTTCGTGGAAGTTTATGGCCAGGCTGCAGTTTGCAAACCATGAACTGGGCAGAATTCATCACGAACAAAGGTTCGTGAGCTGGTTAATGCCCATCCCTACTGCTTAAATTATCCTGCCTCTTCTGGCTCATTTTGTTTCAGGCTTACATCAAGCTGCAGGAGCACGAGAAAGCCATCCTTGACTGCGAATGGGCTTTAAGGGTAAGAGTTTCCTATTTTTTTCCACCTAACCTGTGTAAGAGGGAAAGCAGGTGGCCAGGTGAACCGGGCTTTGAAGTGTAGATGGCTTTGAACAGCTATTGTAGTGAATAGAAAGGAAGCTCTTTTACTTTTATGTGTTTCGTGGCCCTCCTTTTACTTACATGCTCACATCTGTATTTCTTTCCATGAAGATAGTCTCTGAGGGAAGCCATGCCGGTCTGCATTAGAACACTTTGATTTGAATCCAGTAGCCTGTCAGGGCACCGAAAAGATTTTGGGGGTATGAGTTTTTGAGACTCAAAGGGGAGCTTTGACAAGGGAGCGCTGACTCTCGAAAGCTTGTACCCAGAAAATCTAGTTGGTCTCAAAGGTGCCACTGGACTCAGATTGAACTGCATCGCTTTGTGTTGTTGTTGTTGTTCAGTCGCACAATCGAGTCCGACTCTTCGCAACCCCATGGACCAGCTCCCGCCAGGCCTTCCGGTCTTCCACCGTCCTCTGAAGTGAGCTCAATTTCATGTTGGTTGCATCTATGACACTGTCTACCCATCTCATCCTTTGCCGTCCCCGTCTTCTTTGACCTTCAATCTTTCCCAGCATCAGGGTCTTCTCCGGGGAGTGCTCCCTTCACATTGGGTGGCGAACGTATTTGAGCTTCAGTTTCATTATCTGGCCTTCCAGGGAACAGTCCGGGTTGATTTCTTTTAGGATTGACTGATTTGTTCTTCTTGCAGTCCAAGGGACTCTCAAGAGTCTTCTCCAGCACCATAGTTCAAGATAATTATTTTTCGGCGCTCGGCCTTCCTTATAGTCCAACTCTCGCAGCCATACATGACCATTGCTTTGACCATGTGGACTTTTGTTGGCAGGGTGATGTCTCTATTTTTTATCATGCTGTTTAGGTTCGCCATCGCTTTGCTCCCAAGGAGCAGGCGTCTCTTAATTTCATGGCTGCTGTCACAGTCTGCGGTGATCTGGGATCCCAGGAACGTGAAGTCTGTCACTACTTCGACGACTTCCCCTTCTGTTTGCCAAGGAGTGATGGGGCCGGATGCCATGATCTTAGTTTTTTTGATGTTGAGCTTCAGTTATCTAATCACAATCTATTGTTCATCACTAGATGTCCCCTGGGGGTTACTGGAGTGTTCTGGGACTGCAACGTTTTGAGATAAATGCAAGCTCTTACTGCACCAGTAATGAACTTTAAAATGTTCAGTCGGTCTGTAAAAGGGGTCAAGAAATAAAAGCTTCAAAACAAGATAAAAATTTTAAAAATTATTTTGGGGGGCTAGCTAGTAAAAAGAGAAAAGAGTTCTGCTGGAATCATACCACGAGTTACCGCCTAGTTTTTTCTGCACCACCTGTTGGAATTATTTAAGAATGAGCAGAGCAATGGCTCAAAAATATCTGCATTAGGTTGACAGCGCAACGAAACCAGAAAGGAGGGGTTAGAGCAGCAAAGAACAGCATTCATTTCAACGAGTGCGGAGCGGCTATGACAATGGAATCACTACCAGAGGGCGGGAAACATATGCAGACACTGATTTTTATACTGGTGCACTGCCAGCATGAAACCGGATGCAAATGTAGACAGTTTGTTGGGCGACAGGAGTGAAAATGTCAGGAAACCGGTGAGAAACACACATGTGGATTCGACCTTTAACTCTCCCCCATTTATATATTCTGTGAAGTGGAAGTAGCATGCTTTCAAATGTGCTAATAATTCTTAAAGCTCTTTGTTGTAATACTATAGTTTTAAGTACGAATTAAAGTAAACTCTGGTCCAATTAAATCTCTTGCTTGGCACAATTTCCATCTTCCCAATTAAAAAAACTAAATAGATACTTGATATTCTGGAGCAGACATAAACATTTATATTTCTGCTTCGCAGAACCACTCCGATCTTTTCATATTTAAAAATCAAACATTTAATTAAAGATTGATGTAATTAATGGTGAATTAATTTATCCATCAGCATCTCTGGAGAGCTGTTTGAAAATGTAAATACGGTGCGCTGGTTTCAGTTCTCCCAGCCAGATGAGGTTGCATGCAAAGCGATATGTAAAACTCTCAATTTCCATGACTTGACATATTTTAATTCTGTAAGCTCAGATGCATCAGGGTACTCATCGTTTTGTGACATTCATTTGAGATAGAAGAGCCCGGGCAGTCTGCTAGCCTTTGGAGCCTCCTTTTCCTTCTTTCCTTCTTGGTTTGTTTTTAAAAAGGCCGTCGTCCAGATCATATCTATCTGCAGCCACCCCAGTGAGATCCACCCACATAGAGGACCCCCCCCATCCCGGGGCCAGTATCGTGTCATCCCAGGGCCCACGCCTGTCCACCCCCCCCTTGCCTTCGTTTCCACCCCCATGCGGCATGCCTCCCCACCTGCTCAGGCATCCTTCTCCCACTTTCAAGCCCTTTGATTGTCGCTGCTTAGTTGTCCACTCCACCTACATGGCCTTCCTCTGACAGCACCATCCAGGCTGCACAGCTGAGAGTGCTGCTGTCATCGCTCCCAGGTTGTGCCACCACTGGTGCACCACCTGCACACCCTTTCTCAATTTATTTATTTATTTCGATTTATATCCCACCTTGCCTGCGCAGGCAAGACTCAAGGTGACGTACAACAGATTAAAATACAATAAAACATAGATACATAAATACAATATTATAAAATTCCGCATAACAGAGGATGTACATAAAGTTCAGTTGAAGGCAGATGGCGATTACTGTAAAATGGTCCGATGTAGGCTAGGCCAGTATCCAAAGAATGCCATAACAGTCCAGTTTTTAATAGCTCATTCACCAGTGGTGGCTCCTAATTGAAGGCCTGGTGGAAGAGCTCCGTTTTACAGGCCCTGCGGAACTGTAAGAGATCCCGCAGGGCCCTGATGTCTTCCGGGAGCTCATTCCACCAGTGTGGAGCCGCCACTGAGAAGGCCCTGGTAGCGGCCAGTCTGGCGTCTTTTGGGCCAGGGCCAGGCGATTTTGTGACCCTGACCTTAGTGCTCTCTGGGGGATTTATGGGGAAAGGTGGTCCCGCCATTGGGAGCATGGGTACAGGCAGATTTCAAGGACCAGTGGCAGTGAGCCCTTTCCTGATGTCTTGGACCCCGGCAGCTGCCCCGCCCTCGGGTGTGCTAACGCCAGCCCTGCCTCACGCTGAACACCTTCCACAGTTCTTTGGGCCTGTTACACGGCCGGGAACAGGAAGTGTGCAAGTCACCTGGAACTTCTCAGTCGCTTTTCAGCCCCCTCTTGTGCACCGTAGGCAACGAGGTTGTGCAGACAGGATAGTCGCAGAGTACTTGGTTCACGGTCCCGATCCATGTCACGAGCGGTGGCGACAGCAGTCGGATCGTCTCTGGTTGCTGGTTCCCCTCCCCCTCAACAAGTGCCGGATGGACGCCTTCCCCGGCTGTCATCCGCCGAGCACCTCCAGCCAAGAGCCCCTTTCACCGCCCCTGCCGCCGCCCCAGCCGTTTCCCTTGCAGACTAGAAGAAAGACTGATGTCCACTTAGACGCTGATATCTTGAAAGCTTTCTGAAAGATCGTTTCCCCTGTCACTTCTGATGCCCTAAGTGCCATTGATTTAAGGGGCCTGGCTAGATGGCAGGTCAGCCGCGCTGAAGCAAAACTGCCGCTTTCCAAGTGTTTGATGGGGAAAGGTCGGCACAAACAATGACCACGTTTCAGTATCATTTAATTGGCTAGTTGGGGTGTCTGAGCAGTGTTTTCTGTGGCTGGATGCAAGCCTTCTTAAGAGATCAGAGCCATTTCTAGGACTTCTGACTCCAAGAGAAGCCTTGCTGGCTTCTAATTTGGAAGCAGCTCGAAAAGTTCTGTGCGCCGTGGTCAGTCCCCAGCACCACGGAAGAGCATGACCAGCAATGTTCCCTCTAAGTTGAGTTAGTGCGAGCTAGCTCACAGTTTTTTAGCCTCCAGCCCACACATTTTTGTCTTAGCTCAGAAAGCGTGGCTCCAGAGCAAACTCATTTATGCAGCAGCCAAATCGCTCGCTCTCAACTTTAATGCCCGTAGCTCACAAAGTAGAATTTTTGCTCACAAGACTCTGCCGCTTAGAGGAAGCATTGGTGACCAGCGCTTGAGTGTCAGCCTACCCACAGACCTATCCAAAGGACTGAAGGCACTTTCTGAAAAAAGCAATGCTGCTCTTCCATGGGTGTGTTGGCTGTTTTGTGCTACAATCAGATCTCCTTCTAGTAATAATGGGCAGCACTTGCTTGAGCACCTGCCCTTTGCTGTGGCCCAGCGAAGAGTTTATCATAACACGGAAACCTAGGAATAGTTCTTTTTTGCGAATATGAAACAATTCCAGTGTGTCGTAAAAGTCTTACTGGCAAAAAGCCCCAGTGTTTCACAAGTTTTGCTAAACGATTCTGTTCCTTGCAGTGTGATGAAAAATACCTCAAGGCCTTCTTTCATATGGGGAAAGCGTACTTGGCACTGAAGCAGTACAGTAAGGTAAGGCGAGGCCTGTGAACTCTCAGCAGACCTTCCTGTTGTGTACCATGTTAGTCCTCTATAAAGGTTGGGATGTCGTGGTCCGTTGAGAAGGCTGCACAGGTTACGTCTTGGTTAGCATCCCTCCTGCTTATTGTGAAGCAGATTTTATTTTTTAAAAAATCCATTAAAACAATACAGGTATGCTAACGTGCCTTTTGGTGCCAGGTTGGTGTAGTGATTAAGTGCGCGGACTCTAATCTGGGAGAACCGGGTTTGATTCCCCACTTCTCCACATGCAGTTGCTGGTGTGACCCTGGGTCAGTCACAAGTTCTTTCAGAGCTGTTCTCTCAAGGGCAGTTCTCTCAGAGCTCTCTCAGCCCCCCCCCCACCTCACAGGGTGTCTGTTGTGGGAAGGGGAAGGGGAAGGAGTTTGTAAGCTGTTCTGAGACTCCAAGTGAAGGGCGGGGTATAAATCCAATCTCTTCTCTTCTCCTCTTCTAATGCAGCCATGTTCAAAATATGAAAGCATCTTTAGAAAGCTGTGTGTTAAATTATTTTATTCTCAGTCTTAAGAGCAGAAAAGTGGGGGATGGAACCTGGGTCTGAATTCGGGGTGTCCAAGAGAAGTTTGCTTCTTACTTTCTGTGGTTACCTTGACAAACACATAGGAATCCAAGAGAGGCAAGAGTGCTGATTTAGATTGCACAGAGCTTGACTGTGCGCGGTAGTAGCCACTGCCTCCCATTTTGCGTTTTGTGAATGTTTCATTAACATCCTCTGTCCTTTAGCGGGCCCTAACCTTAAAATCCCATTCTTTGTTCTTCTAGTCCAGGGAGTGCTACATGAAGATTTTAGAAATCGATCCCCATAAAGAGAAGCTGTGTAAAGGTAAGGCGTCCGTAAATCCTTCCGCCGCTGTCATCCTGCTGTCAGCTGAGATTCCGGCTTAAGTTGTTCCCTGCTGTTGGTGCCTCAGGCGCTCCTCACCCAAGGGGCCGGGTCCTTCCCTGTATTCCCTCTATTCAACCTCATTCTGTTTAGTTTTTCTGTCAGTTCTGCACCCTGCTCGTTTTTACGTTTTGCCGTTGGAACTTCCAGACTGCCTGAACGAAGTAGACCTGGAAGAAAAAAGACACCACGAGGAAGAGAAAGCCACCAAGGAGTTTGAATCCGGAAGGCATGGAGCCGTGTCTGTGAACCAGCTGCTCCAGGAACTCAGCAGGCCTAACGAAAATGCCCTTTTTTATGCGGGCGGGATCCAGCTTTTGACCGGTATTGTACAAGATGGTAAGTACTCTTCTCTCCTTCCGGGTGCGAGAGACGACAGCTCTGCTGCCTGCAAACAAGGGGCCTCAAGTCTGAGTTGTTCTCTGTAGTCGGCCAGGGAATGCTGCTCACTGATATCCCCGGCAGTATTGTTGTGAACAGGCTGGGCAGAAGCTGCTGAGAAGAAATTACAATCGTATAGCCTTTCTCCTCCAACTCAGTGCCAAGTTGGGAGCGAACGAGACAATCAGAGGATCTGGGAAATAGCTCTTCAAGTCGATAGAGCCTGGATCCACTCTTATCTGGTGGCAGAGAATCACAGCCAACATATTGTTCTGGCAAATTACCCCTACGCCTTATAATTTCCTAAACACTGCAGAGCATTTACTTTGGTCCATTTCAGTGTTCTTCCTTTAGCTGTGCTGCAAGGCATTCCCACAGTTCGGGTTTTTGCCAGCTGAATGCCGTGGAAACAAAGGAAGACATGTTACGTCTCTGTTTATTTTATAAAGATATTTATTCCCTATAAATTACCCTGTTTTATCTAAGTTTCCAGAAAGAGCTGATAAATTTTACACATCCATTCTCCTTGCAGACTTTCTTAACAAAACCACTCTCAAGGAGGCCAGATTTCGCACTTTGGCTCAGTCGATAAGGGAGCGCTTATCACTGAAGCTTGTGTCACTAAAGAACAAAGTTACGCATTTAAATGGTTTTTATATGTGTGTGCTTAGCTTGTGCTCTTACACTGGTGTCGGCGGATCTTGGATGATAAATGAAATGAATGTCGCATGCTTTTTGCTGGTTGTCATTTTCGTCCGTCAAGACGATCTCTTTGGCAAACTTGTCACTTAATGCTGAGCTTCGGGTGAGGATGGTGAAGTCTTTCAGTCTGAAGGACCAGGGATCTGACTTCTTATCTCTGAACTTATTGCAGGCACAGAGCAGACCTTGTTTAGAACAAACAATGGATTCAGTATCATCAACGACAACAAGGTCATAAGACGGTAAGGGCTGTCTTCGGGAGGAACAGGAGGGTGTTTGCAGTGGGGGCAAACAGAGAAAGGCTGCAAACGAGAAACCCAATCGCTGTATGAAATTCAGACCGGCCGATCAGCAGATAAATGCTGCTGCCAGTTGCACAATCTTTATTGCCTTCTAGGTGACCTTTTAGAATAAACAGTGCTCTTTCGGAGGCATCACACGGAAATCTGCTTCAGTAAAAATCTGCTTCAGTACTTGCAGAGCTCCAAAGTGCTGCATTCGCCCAGATCCAAACAGCAGCAGAAGTCACTGTGCCAAAGGCAGCATAGCTTCATTGACTGCTTTGGCTCCCATAAATCTTTGTCCTCACTGCCGAAACTTTTTCTGGACATCTTTTTCATTTTTTTCCCAAGTCCAGGGAGACGATCTTCCTGCAGGATTTTCTACTATCTTTGCTCCTTATTGGTTCTGTCAGGTTGGATTTGTGTTAGATTTTACCTCATGCCGAGCAATAACGCCGGTGGCCCTGTTCTGATTCTCAGCTGTCTCCCGAAGCTTTGTCATGTAAAGCCCAGAAGAAATCAGAAAAGCATTTGTTCACTTCCCGATTCCTTGTTAATTCCGTGGGAAATGAATTTTCTAGAGAGCCACTCAGTGAAAAGCGTGCCTGTGAGCAATGATCCCCCTAAGCTGTGGAGTCTTGTGAGCAAAAATTCTACTTTGTGAGCTACTGGCATTAAAAGTTGTGAGCGAGCGATTTGGCTACTGCATAAATTAGTTTGCTCTGGAGCCATTCTTCCTGAGCTGAGACAAAAATTTGTGAGCTGGAGGCTAAAAAACTGAGCTAGCTCACACTAACTCAGCTTAGAGGGAACACTGCCTGTGAGTGATGGGAGTGAAGGCAGGCTTGGAGGAAGAATAATGGCAGCAGAGACTTTGGGTGGCGGGGTATTGCTGGTGTAGGCTGGCCTCTTGCAGAGTGTCCATGAAGAAGTGTGCATTCATGTGTCAACATAATTTTATTCTGGGTATAAGCTTTCGTATGCGTGCATGGAAACTTATACCCAGAATTAAACTTTGTTGCTTTGAAAGGTGCCCCTGGACTCAGACTTTGCCTGTGAGAGGCTCAGGCTTGGACTTAAGCACCTAGAACCTCTCTGCAGCTCTCATTTGACAATACTCTGAAAAGTGCCCTCTTGGGAACACGCCCCCTGCAGTTGTTATTTTATTTTTGTTTTATTGGATTTGTATCCCGCCCTCCCCACATAGTAGGCTCAGGGTGGGTTCCCTCAAAATACCATACACAAGTTTCTTCTACCGACACGCTCTTGCCTAACCCTCGCCAAAATGGCCAATGTATGCTGCAACTCAGTCTGACTTCCTTGGGAACGGATAGTTTGCCAAGGTGCCATATCACTTAGAGCCAGCATGGTTAAACTCTCAAAGTAGAAGATAGAAGAGAAGAGATTGGATTTATACCCCGCCCTTCACTGGGAGTCTCAGAGCGTCTTACAAACTCCTTTCCCTTCCCCTCCTCACAACAGACACCCTGTGGGGCCGACAGAGCTCTTTCCAGAACTGCTCTTTCAGAACAGCTCTGAGAGAACTGTAACTGACCCAAGGTCATCCAGCAGCTGCAAGTGGAGGTGTGGGGAATCAAACCCGGTTCTCCCAGATTAGAGTCTGTGTTCCTAACCACTGCACCAAACTGACTCTGTGAGAGCCGGGTTCAAATCCCCTCTCACGGAAGCTCGCTGGGAGACCTTGGACCGATCACACACTCTCAGCCTAGCCTCCCTTACAGGACTGTTGGGAGGCTTATTAAGTAATTAATTGAAACATTTATATCCCACCTTTCCTCTTGGTTCAAGGTGGCTTACAATAATATCCGAAACAGCCCCAGCTAAAACCAAAGATAAAATAGCAAGCCCCTAATTGCTTCCCCCCTCTCCCACCCCTCAAAAGATGCCTGCTATTAAAACCCTGGGAGGTAGGTGGGGCTGAGATAGCTTTTTCCAGAACTGTCCTTGAGAGAACAGCTCTAATCAGAACTATGGCTTGCCCAAGGTCATCCAGCAGGTGCAGGTGGAGGAGTGGGGAATCAAACCCGGTTCTCCCAGATTAGAGTCCGCGCACTTAACCACTGCACCAGAAGGCAATGTCTGACTTCTCCTGTGACCTGATGGCTTCTCCTTGTTGTTTATGAAACCTCTTCATTTTCCAGCGCATTCCGTCCTGAGATGAAATCCCCTGCCGAAGCGGAGCTGTCTCTTTCCC